TCTAACATAGTTTGTTAAATAATGTTGAACAATATCGTTCATCACACAGGCAAAACATGTCTTTTCAACCCTCGCTCATTTTTCGGGTCGAAAAGAGTCACATTGGGCTCTAGTGATGAAATATACTCATCCATCATGAATGAAGTCGTCAGCATTTACACTAACTCTTCTGAGACACGCTGTAACACAAAATATGTGTTTGTGTTTTGTGTTATGCGTCCTCAGCAGCACGAACAGCTGTTGTTATTAACACAAGGATAAATTGACGCAACAATCTACCTAAACCTTAACTTGGTATATCTTGATCCAGAGGCTAACCCATATAAAAATATTTCAATGTTTGGGATTTTCCCCATAACATTTCGTGGTGACTCAAACCACCTTCCAATTATTAGAGTTGTTGACAAGCTATTAGGAGAAAGTATGTGCCAGTCGGCTGATACAGTGTATTTTTGACCTGAATGATTCTGCAGAAAACATTATCAAATTCAAGACATAAATAAACCAACTGTACAGGTTTCCCTCTTAAATGATAAGTAGACTAGTTCAATATCTTAATTAGACGATTAAATACAATCATTATTTACTAATTATTTTTCGTTCAATTTATTTTAGTATTGATATCCAATTTAAATTTGGATATTTGACTTAGTTAAATTATACCAAAGGAATTGTTTTGGACAAATTAGTTCAAAAAATGTTTGTTTCTATAATCAATTGTACAGTTTTGGCTGTTGAAAATTAAAACAGTTTACAAAAAATAACAAATCTTTGTTTGTTTACGTCGGCAAAATCCAAAAAAATATAGGAAACATCACTTTCGCATTGAAAACATTCTTTTTCGGTAGTAAACGATGTAATGACGAAATTTCGCATGTGGTAAACATGGAACGAAAACAGGTCATTTCACAGTAGTGTAGCGAAATAGTATATTTCACTACTAAACAACTCGCATGTAAAACACTATCCCGTCCCGAAATGGTACTTTTCGTGACGAGTATTGAACAATACTTTTTATCACGATGAAAAAAACTACTTCATCAAACTTAAAAAATATCTGATATTTCGTAATCTATTCATTTTTCCAATCTAAACACAATACGGCTGTATAATTAATTGTATTATAAAATTCAGCTGATTGTAACTTTGTTGATGTCAGGCAAAGTATTGTTTGTGTAGCGAAAGTAATGTTTACGTCAGGAAAAGTCAGCTGATCACTTAATCTTGGGAATTGAAGATTTTCGAAGATCTCAGCTGTATGGAAACGGGCTATTTTCGAATACAGAGTGATGAAAAAGTGTTTTACTTTAACATATTTTTAAATTAATTTAAGAGATTACTATTGATATTTAGAGCTCAATTCCTACCAAACACAATGCAGTTTAACGACAAACGTCTAAATTAAATTAAATAATCTTTACAGTGCTAACACTACATGTAATTTCATTAAAATACGATACAGTATCTTTCTTTTCTACAAACCTCACCTGCATTTGATTAAATCCAATGAGGAAAACTCAAGATAAACTCGCACGTCGAATTATTTAAAGAAACTTCACGAGCATATCGAACCATCACCACTTTCAATCTGATTGGTGGTTATTATTAGATAATTTTAATAATAGGGTTTTAAAAACTTAAGAAAAGATTGATTGTGGCAACTACACGTGAGTGAAAATTAATCCATTGAGAGTTCCCTCTTAAGATAAAAATATCATTGAGACTAGTAATATAAAATAATTACAGTCTTTGTAAGAGCTAAGGAGTATTACATAGTTCAGTTGAATTTGCTTATTTCTTTAACATAACTGAATATCTCTGTAACATGGTAAATTGTTAAGCGTATCATTGATTTTTGGATACTGTACCAGGGGTCCGTTTCATAATAAACTACAAGTTACAAGCTGTTTATTAATTTGTTAATTAATTAATTAATTTAATTTAACAATTTAATTAATAATTTAATTAGTAATTTAATAATTTAATTAATAGTTTAATTTAATAATTTAAACAATAATTTAATTTAATAATTTAAACAATAATTTAATTTAATAATGTAATTAATAATTTAATTTAATAATGTAATTAATAATTTAATTTAATAATGTAATTAATAATTTAATTTAATAATTTAATTTAATAATTTAATTAATAATTTATTTAAATAATTTAATGAATAATTTATTTTAATAATTTAATGAATAATTATTTTTAATAACTTAATTAGTTAATTTATTTAATTTATTTATTAATTTAAGTTACAAGCTGTTGTGATTTGTAATTTCCATTAGATTTGCATTGGACAATCAGCTGATTTACTAAAAATATTAGTTTGTAGTTTATTATGAAACAGGCCATAGGAAATCTTTATGGTTTAGCTGTGATTTTTTTTATTTTAAATCATACGTTCTCTTTATGATTTCGATACTATGATTGTTGACGTCACATAACAGATTATACAATTTTCTATAAGTTGATATTTCAGTTTGCTTTGAGTTAAGCTCGCGTATGTGACAGCAATGAGAAATTGAAAGTAGCACACTATGTCGAACGTTTGATTCAACTTTAAAATTTATTTTTTTAAAATTAGGCTCGTAAATAGTGGAATGGTTGTAAAGAATTAAGGGATATTTTTTTTACGTTGAACCTAATCATTATTTTACTTCCTTTTCTTTGCAATAAAATATATAATACAACAAAATAATAGTATATTCCATACAAAGACAATATTAGTACTTAGCATTCTCAGCATTGCTTCGTGTACTTGAAATGCAAACAATCCTTTTCAACGGATAACACGGTAATTTACAAAGATAAACAAACTAATTAGCACAAAGTTAAATGAGGATTGTTTGGGAATCCCGAAAATGTTGAGGACTTTTGAAACATTTTAGTATTGTTGTATCTCAAATTCCTAGAAAAAAAATCTTAGAGTAATTAGTAAGGCAATATTTCCATAAATAATCTTAATTAAATGAAATGGTAAATAAATTTAATTTTAAATGTACTCAAATTCCGATTTCTCTTATTTCTCTACAACCGATATATTTTTATTTGTTGTGTAACGCGATTTATACTCCCTTAAAGGAATTTAGAATCGTTATTTTTTATAAACAAGAAATTTTTTTTAAAGACAATTTTGGTCCTTTAGGTTAAACTATTGGCAATTATTTTTATTTACGATTTCAGAAAGAATTTATGGATCTACGTAGTTTAGAAATAGTAACTGAACCTTCAAACATGGCAATGTATTCTTTTTATTATTGAAACGTATAGTGATTTTTTTAATACTGTATAAGAATTTCATTAAATTTTAATTCTATCTATTTAGAAATTTAAATATTTAAAATATTATTTGATATACAATAATTTATAATCATTTTATTATTGAAACACCTTAATTATCACGAAAAATAGAAAACCCCGGTATGGATAATAAACATAAACAAATGACGTTGTTGACCCAAATCCTATAATAGCATTAACACATGTTTCGGCAGCTCCATTTAAGCAATGTTAAATAATGTTTATTTTCGGTCCAAAAACGTCATTTTGTTTATGTTTATGGTCCATACCGGTTCTTTTCAAGTTTTCATGTGAATTATTTCACAATTATTATATTTTTTATGTTTTATGTTTGTAAGTATCCAATCCTTTGTGGATGTTTTATACTGTAAAATCAGAGACTAATGGATAATATATAGGTTATGTCCAATAGGCCATTAGTAAAATATATTTTGAACGATGTATCAAATATCATTTTACCTATTTAAATGCGCTGCAAATAATGGACAAGTTATAATTAAATTCCCAATTACTGTATTTGTATGTTACAAACTATCAGTCAAAACGAACTCGTAAGAAGTCATTTAGGCAAAAAAGTGGTTGTATGTATTTTCTCACGCCAACTATTAATTATTAACGTATCCAGGATTGAAGTTCTTATTCTTAATTAAAATCCAAGTAATTCCCACTACAATGGAATTTTTAAATCAAGTAATTACAAAATGTCACGATTAACTTGAGGTAGATCAGATAACGATGACATAACTAAGCTTAGTGGTAGAAAACGTGCAAAAATCATAATAAATATTAAATTTTAATATTTGCAATTGCAATTGATTTGTTTTAAAATACCAGCGCACAGTTCAATTTAAAAAAAATTGTTTCCAGAGTAAAATGAATCCAGTGTAATACCCATTTACCTTGTTAAGATTATGATTGTTTAAAACTAGATGAATTAAACTAATTAAAAATAATCTTGTTGAATTTGGATCTACACTATAAAAATTATTTTTATCTATCTCAATTGGGTCACAGTTGTAAAAAATGCATTCTCATCGATCGGTTAGTCTCTTGTTTAAACAATCTGTGGTAAACATTCAACTGCAGGAACAGCTGTTCAATTACAATTCACGTTTAAACCGTTAAAGTTAGTCAGAATAACTGGATGTTTAAAAAATTGACTCCATAAATTAAACGTGAGGAGGGCGAAACCCAAAAGGAAATTACCTTTTTTAATTCACAGGTGTGCTAGATCATAAGCTATTAAATGACACCAAATCGTACAAATCGGTTAAGTTGGACGGCTGGAAAGGGGTGTTACAGGGAAACTCCCTTATTGTATTAAGTTTATAGAAAATATAGGCCTACCGTAATTAATTAGGGGATCGAGCTGGTTTAGTGGTTAGAGCGCGGGGCTTTCTGTTCCAGAGGTCCCGGGTTCAAATCCCACCAAATCACCGATGGATTTTACAATTGATAATGCCGCAACCCCTAGGTCTAGCCTGAAGTAATGTGAAAAACAATTCCGGGATCATGCGTCCTAGGAAAAAAACAAAAAAACCGTACTTAATTTGCATATTAAATTTATTTTAATTGTTTTACGAATACACTTTTGGGTTACACTCCTTCACCCGGTATTTCCCAAGGATAAAATACCCAGAGGTAATTTGAATTACTAAAATATAGTCTAATTACGTAATATCTACCAACCATACCTGCATCTCCATGATGTGCTGCGGTTACCGCGGTCCCAGCGGTTGTGCCGCACTACAGTTGAGGTTGCGAGGTTCGCGGTAGACGACCTTGAGTATCCGGTTCCTGTGTACTGATAACACTGTCCTGTCTTATCACCATCAGCTGTTATAAACAGCTGATCGCGGGTCGAATACGTCACTGTCTCGTACATAGGTCAACAATTGACAAAGTGTCAGTGACGCGCTATTTTTAGAACGTTGTCCAATTGATCTATTGATATGTCTGGAGACATGAATGAATGACAAAGTGAGTTTATTGAAGAATAAACAAATAAACTTAAGAAGGAAGGACTAAACTAAGCTAAACTAAGCTAACACTTAGATTACAATCTTGGTTTTCTGGGTTTTACCATGTTACAGATAGAAACGCATTAATTGCTGTAAAAGTTAACTAAATTATAATTTTGTTTTGCTTTTTATGGTAGAATTCATTTAAGCGCATAGCTGTGCGCCCCAAAATATCTATAAGGGAGTTGTTACTGATTTAGTTATCCATATTTACATTATTTCATTAATTACTGTGGATATTTCCATCATACTTAGTAAAAATCCCACAATTTCGGATCCCGTCTTAAAATATGAAAGTCCAGCCAGGAATACAGGTGTAACCAGAATTATTTTATATCAGTTTTCATTTTAATTTAATTTTGGTATACTACGCTGTGGTCTGTAGTTTTCACGTCAATTATTAATGTTTAGTTTAAATGTCTTTTGCCATTATTGTATGAGAGAAGTGTTTTTTTATTGCTGTCATCAAATCTGCATGAAATACCAGTGTCTTCAATAAACAATAAGTGTCTATTGTTCGCCTTCAAATCTGAATTTTGCTGGATCGTTCCAAGCAAGATATTTGTCAATGGACTATTAGTTAATTATGTTGTCTAAAACTGCTAGTGTTAGATAGTAACGAGACCACGGTTTAAACGGTTTTCATAAAAAAAAACTTAAAAAAACTCCGTTGGCGTTATGTAAAACACAAAAATGTACTGCGTTATGTACTGCGAAAAAGTCTATTTTCATAGATTTGTTGTTTCCTTCAATTACGAGTTGTTTTCAACTCTGGTATGTTTTCGGTTCCAGTCATAACAACAAGTAGGAATGCAACGACCGCAATTGACTTTTGGTACTGATTCTACGTCACAATCTATAGTCTGCGCGTGCTGCAATTGAATTGACAACTCTGTAGCATTCTATTGTTGCAACCAGGGTCGAATGTCGGTCTAGTCTGGAGTCTGCTCTGTAAGTCGGCTTTTTAGCTAGGTCAAAGTACAAGATTATGTGAATTCCATTAGGGCCTATAACACTAACACAAAACATGATTCAACATAATTTGTACGAGACGTGTGTGGAGTGGGCGAGGAACTCAAGCAAGTTCTAGGACTTTCGTACTTGGATAGCTTACGAGATTTCACAGGTGAAATTTATATTAGTCATATCAATACACCGTTTTAATGAGAAGCAAAACAAACGTAATAGTTTTTCAAATTCGCAAATCAAACGAAGGTTGAGGTTAGATTTGAGGCGTCATCCACAGTAAACAATTTTGTCTTTCAAGTTATACTCCACAGACTTTTATAAATATTGCAATGTGTAATTACTTCACTATAATACAGCGACACTCGTAATTTGCGAACGTATCACTGAATATCAATGCAAGTTGTGTCTAAAATGGAGTAAGATAATCTGTGTGATGCCACTGACTGAGATCAGCTGTTCATGTTAATGGCAAAAGACAGCTGATCCCAGTTTCGAAGGACCAATAAACTTCGACGTGTTTCTAGATTGGCGAGAAAATACTGTAAATACTTTCCGCAAACTTTCTAAATCAGTTTAGCAGCATTAAATTGAGACATTAACCTGTTTTGCACGATGTTGCGAACTTACAGACGTACGATACATTTTTTGTAAAGCAGTATCTAAGCCTCTGGATGACAATACATAATCTATGACTGAAATTGAATCTGCATAATATTAAAACATCTTATCATTGATTGTCCTTTATAAGTGTGTAATTTTAAATAACTCAAATTGAAGAATCACAACTAAATTTCAATTTTTAATTCGCTTAGGTTATGAACCTGGTACAAAAATGTCTGTGGTAAAATGTGGACTAGACAATCCAAGTAATTGGCCAGGAAGGCGGAATTATAATGATGAGAATGTTGTAGTAACTGGTTTATGTCCTGCTCAAGGTCACAAGGCGACACCAAGGTCATACGTTCTGCTCTTGATAATGTCTGACAGAAAATATTGTATGTTTAGCAAAAGATGTAAATATAACATTTTAGTGTCTAATAATTGCTGTAAGATTTATTGTTGTCAAGGAAAATTTATGTCCGATAATTTTTTTAACGACGACTAAGGTTTATGTCTTGTGTTAAAGGGAATTTTACAGTGCAAGCTTTACACTTATATAGTTCTGGGGAAGAGCTTTAGTTTGCTAATTTTTAAGGGAGAAGAAGTAAAAATGCTGTTACGCACACGGTTGAGAAGCCTCTATTTTGAGACTCCCGGCTCAATAAAAAAACTCCTTTACACTGTTGGACATAGACCTGGGATTGTTTGTAAAATTACTTCAGGCAATGTTCAGGTCAGGTCAACGTGTTACCTAGGCCCTCAGGGCTCTCGCCATTCTTGGCATTTAATTCTTTTATGACCTTGAACGCATCAAGGTCAAGATTCTTGGCACTGAGAACACCCTGGACAAACTGTAAAATACAGGTACAATTATCGTCATCTGAATCATCTGGATGACCATGTCCATTGACAACGGTCCTGCATGATACTGAGTCTCCAGGAGGGGCCTTTCCCAGCGCGAGGAGAAGAAAGTGTGTCCCGCGTCGTCGGGAGTTCCCGGACAAAAGGTGCTCGGGTACGACCGACAATCGTCGTGACCTGTCGGAAACTGGGTTGTAAAAATCCACTTGCTAGTACCTCCGAATATCCCCGTACCCAAGCTTTGCTGAATCAGTCGCCTCGTCCAGCTTCCCCATCACCATGTCTCCTGTTACCAGCTCTCCTACCAAGGCCGGTAGGTGCTGGTATGCTCGTCCGTTCTTGCCTGTTTCTCACCACGCAACTGAAAAATCACCTTACTATCCGCCGTCGAAATTTGGACAAGACTCTAGCGACGACAATAACGGCGGGTTTGGAGATTATTCGGTAAGCGGGTGTTTTAGTGCTACCTGACCACAGACAATTAAGTAGTGTCCAAAACACCCCGCAAACCATAAACCAATCCTACAACCGACCTCAATAAAAACAAAGACCGCTAAACCCAACCCCAACCAGCTGTAGCAGAATTGAGCTACGTTATCACACTCGTTCGTTATTTATATGTCTCTGCTGCAGCTGCTATCCTTTCCCTGACTGAAGAGGACAAAGTCATAAAACAGCCTCAGTCCAGTAGGGTTTCAGCTCTCTGTTAGGGACTGGAACATCACGAAGAAGAATAAGAGTAGTGTCTACGGTTACTCGATTGGCTGTGGACTGACGCTGCAAGGACGTGTTACATCCCGTATTTACTAGTAGATCGTCGTTTACTCGCAATAATTAAGTTTATAACTAAAAATCCAACTCAAGGTCTACCGGACATAACAAATATACCTAAACTAACTTTAAAACTGATAAATAAAGGAATATAGTTCAAACTTACCAATTGTCACTATGTCGGCTGGATTGCACTACCACAGAGTCAACAATAACAAAACAACCAACAACTTTCTCCACCAATGTGTCCAAATATAGTTCTGTGGTGTAACTGGTCGTGATGATAGATCCAATCGATCTACAGGCGAGCTGATAACACACCTCTGCCTGTACTGCAGTACAATACGACAATACGTAAGCAATATGGCAATATATAACTGTACTGCAGAGTGAATAAAGTACGATGAAAGACAAAGACAATGCGAAAAAATGTATTGCAATTCAATTATTCTTTGTAAACTGTTCAATTATTCAAAACGGTACAGTAAACACAATTACATTCAGTACAATACTGCGTAAACCCAATATAACGCAAATAAATGCAAGTGAGTACTGTAGAATACAGGATACATGTATTATACTGTATATACAATAGAATACATGCACGTAAAATGTCCTACAATATAATTCAGGTCAGTATAGAATAGGAAAATTTTGTTTCAGTACAATACAATAATTACAGTATGTAACAAAACATCGTGCAATGAAATCGTATCCGATAATAATGATGTTGTAATACATTTTCAATACAAAGTCAGAACCAACAGATTGTAGGTGGTTCTGAGAACAAAACAACACCTAGCTGTCCTTGATCACTAGACTGGGAACAGCTGATCTTAGTAGCAAGCCATCCACTAACAAATTAATTAGCTAATGTAGTGGTGGAATTGTATATTTCACCACTAGGGCGTAAAGTGACTCTTTTCGATCCGAGCTAAAGTTTCACGAAGCCGATGTTGTACGATGAGCGATGGTTGAAAAGATACTTTTTGCCCGTGTGATGAACTGTATTTTTGTCATTGCAACATTATTTAACTAACTAATTTATGTTGGAATACGAAAATATTTGTCACGTAAAGATAACCTCTCAAAATAGCTTTCATGATAGACTTTATTACCGTACTTTTTGTTTGTTTATAGCTTTGACAGTTTCGAACACAAGCAATTCCCACGCTGTTAGGTGTGGAAATTCAATATTTTGTCACTACAAAATTCTTATAGCTAAGGGCTACCTCAACTACATAAATTAACCTAAAACCAAGTTCGGTAAATGTAAAACGGTTCTATCAATAATAAAACTAACATTTGTTAGATCTTTGTTCTGATTTGCCCTGGTGTATCTACATATCATCTTCCAATCAAATATTTACAGAGTCCGTGGAATAGCAATATCACGATATTTCACAGCGATATCACAATAACAATTACACGAAGCTATATCAGTTCAACTGTGTACATCCGCATTAAAAATTTACCACCATTATCTTTGGAGCATCTCTTCGATGTTATCACTATCAACGCCATTGACCAACTAACATTTACCTTGACATAAAAATAGGGCGTTGTACAATTAAATTTGATATTTTGTTTGTGTTTCCACTGAGGCTTTCGTTTTGTAGTTTTACTGTTATTGTAGTATGGAGACGCTTTTTAGAATTAAACTTCACTTTTGGTGAGTTTTGGTGTGTTGTATGTATAGTTACCAAAGATACAGAAATGTTATATCAAATATGACCTGTTATTATTTTGGCTGGCTGGAACGGGATTAATGTTACTTTATTCACTTTTAAAAACTATTTAAAGAATATATACAATATAGTTCTCTAGCTTTTGTTTAAAAAAATGTTTTGTCTTAGATTATGGTACTATTTTTGAAATAATTCTTTTTATCCAAAAATATTTCTGTTCACTTTGGGGGTTATGTTTTATTGGCGTTTTTGATTGTATTGTGCTTTTCTTGTTTATAAACCTTTAAGTTATCATTTAAAAATCGTGGTCTACAACCAAAATCAATAACATGCCCAAGATCGAACCTATACAAGGTATTCCTTAAATCAAATAATTTTGTTGAGTTTCTTAAGCTGTTTGGCAGGTTGTAAACATATTTTGCTGACATTTTCCACCCTGATTAGTTAAAAACAATTTTTTTCCGAAGTTGTGGTACCTGTAACCTTCCGTCATCAGGTGAGAAAGTATCATGACATTATAAAAATAGTACACAAACCCACCATAGTTGGAAAACATATTTTATTAATCTTGATGGAAAATGTCCGTAATATTCCGTAAAATAATAAAAACCATCGCCATAAACATAAATGAATTTCAAAAAGAAAGATTGAGGATTTTGTTTGTTTTTTTGTGGATGCGGGTAGATGGAATTCCTTTTACTAACGGAGTGTGGTACACATCAAAACCCTAGTGCAAAGCTCACCCATCCATACATGTGCACTATATACACTGAGACTTTCAGTTGATTATCTCAGACTAGTCCCTTAAATCATACCACTCGGACTTTCTACGATGATTTCAGATCGACTTTTCAGTTCAAAGTATGAACTTGAATGAAACACATGACCAGTTCCAACAAGTTCTGTGTAAAAAGACCTCTGTCTCCCATAAAATTTAGATTCAATCGATGCACTGACTGTCAATTTTGAAGAGGGTATGCTCGGCTGTATCAACTATATACCAAAATGAAAATAGTACAGAGTCTGGGCTGGTTGTAGAAGTTTGGGCTGTGCGTAGTAGTATAGATTTTCAGAATGATCTAACCTTATAATTTTCAGGAAGAGTAAAGTGTTTCCAGTAGGAACCACTGACACATTCAGCAAGTCGCTATCCTGGACGTTGCTGCTTGCCAGGATCTTCGGCCTCCTGCCAGTTTCTGCTAAGACTCAGGCAACTGTGACGTCATTCCTTGCAATTTTTGGAACAGCTGGTATGACGTTGCTTGGTCTTCACTGGTGTTTCCTCAACTTTACTGTCTTCAGAGCAAGTATGTACTCCACTGGTAATCACATGTTTCAATCTTAATTTTAGATAAGGCAAGACAACTCTTAGCACAGAACTGCGTTGGAACCATTTTTAAGTGACGTACAGTAGTACAATTGACTGTAGGCTTTCAAAGAATAGTCTGTGTATAGTCAATGGTAGTACATAGTACCATTGACTATTGGATGCTGAAGTACTTGTATCAATAGTCAAAGATAGTACATAGAGTATGTTGTTTCAGCCAAAGTAGTGTTCTACGGCAGTGCGACGTTGTCCTGTGTGCTCCTCCACCGTCTAGGTAAAGCGTGGCCTCGGTTGTCCAACGTGTGGAGACATGCTGAAGTGTCTACTAAACACCTCGGCTACCGACCTCACACAACCCTTATCTGTCGGACCTTTACTGCCTTGTACTGCCTAGTAGCTGTGGGTGAGTTACTGGAACATTTCAAACTTATAATTTGTTTACAATGCAAATATAGTAAGCTGGAAGATTACTGCTGCGAGCTGCGATCCATCCAGAAGTGGTGGTAGCTAAGTGGTAGTACTACTAGTAAACTGTTTTGTTCAATTTTTATCCAATTTACAGGATATTTAAGTACAATATAGCATCACAACTACTAAGGTAAGCAAGCTGGTCTAGTGGTAGATTGTGGAACTTCAGTCCCTGAGATCCTGGGTTCAAATCCTGCCAATCGTAAAAGGGATTTATCCATGGGATGATACTGTGATCCTCTCTTACTAGTAGTAATGTGTGAAATACCTAGTCACAGCCAGGCCTAGCGAAGGTGGGACAAAACTCATTAAAAAATTAGAACTATTAAGATATTAAGGTACTGATACCAAACTAGTAAAAGAGCAAAGGAAAATATTGTGGTAGATTTCTCACTTATCTTAATGTTGCCTTTCTTTCAAGCTATAGGTTACTAAATTGGTCAATCAGCACCATAACTATGAGGAACAACAGGTAAACAATACCACAGAGAAGTGGTGTTAGAGGATACACTCCATCGTACTCTTAAGTGGTGTCTAGCACCAGCACTGGTGTCTAGGGCAAAGTCTAACATCGCTTCCCCTTGCCCTTGCTCATCTTCTATGCTCACAGTGGAGGAAGTCACTGTACGATAGGAATGTCCGCACAGTGCTCACCATTCAGGCTCTACCTTGCTCGATCGTCACAAGTATATTTCTGGCACAATATTACCAGAGCTATAATTGCACGGTTGTCCCAAGCGTGTTTTTTTTTTTTTTCTGTACCTTACTTCTCTGTGACTACACTATGCAATACAGCAATACAGAGTGTCTGCCGTCTATCTAGATTGCAGCACTAGTCTTAAAAACTTCAAAAGCACCTGAAAACAGAGTGTCTTAGAATTTATCTCCTAGCAAATCACAGATACTTTCAAGGCATTTGATCTTTTCCAGTGGAACACGCATTTGCTATCATCAATGCAATTGTGAACGTTTACGAGTGCTCCGCCCGAAATGTGTTCAGAAGGTTCTTCAGCAGATGGTTTCCGCAGCTGCTGACCGTGTTGCCGTACACACCTGCGCTGACTCCTCTAGTGCTGATGCTGAATACTCTTGCAACCTTCACATTCAGCTTCCTAGATCTCCTTATCTTCAACCTTGCCTTCTGTTTATCATCAATGTTTTGGGCTTTCAACCGACAGCTGGTTGAAGCCTCTAAACAAGTGAGAACATGTTTCAAATTCTCTTACTTCCTTATATGAATGGTGTTTTCAAAAACATAACATTTCTGTGATAAATTTGCTTCATTACTACGGCCATAAGTGACTCTTTTCAATGCAAGCAAGTTAAACAGGTGATTCTGAAAGCAGTGAATTTATACAATCAAAGAGCAAACTGAATAAACAATATGACACAAACGTAAATTAGATGGATTTGTCATGTAAAGTACTGTAGTAAGATAAATAATTTGTTCAGTATAAAAATATAAGTACTTTACCAAGTTGGTTTTTGGTCCTTACTCATTTTCTGGCTTAGTGATAACATATTCAGATGACAAAGCTAAAGAAATGCATTCGTAAAACAATATTATGTTAAGGGTGTTCTGCAAAAGGGGCAGAAACTAAACAAAGATATTGTGGTTGTTTTAGAACTATATTCACCTTCTTATTAAATTGCTGGACTTACTCCCTCGCAAATCCACAAAAATGTAGTACATTTAAACTTCTTTCCCTTGAAATTATTGTGATTCCTTCATTGGAAATGCCACTGGCACACTAGCAAAAGAACTTAATTTTGAGTTAGCTCTTCAAGTAATCTAATTTCCCCCAGCTATGAATTGACAGCTATTTACTTGTTATTGAGAATTTTTTGTACTACAGACTATTTCGAGGCCCAGATGGAGTGACTGGTACAGGGACTACAATGTGTTGAGGAGACTTGTGACCATTGTAGACAACCACATCTCCCCAATAGTGTTGCTGTCTTTCATCATCAACGTCTACCACATATGTCTACAATTGTACTTAAGTCTTACGTGAGTCAACTGTCAGTATGTATTATAGTGCTCTCCTAACAATCGAAAGGTCACTGGATTGATCCTGAGAAAAATCAGTAGCTTTTTGATGGTTCTATCGTTAGTCCCTGATCATTGGGCTTTAAATAAAATATGATCCTGGATAATGGAATAGCTGATCTTAGTCAGTAGATAAGGTACACAGATCATCTCACACCATTCTACACTCATCCTTCATTTGTATTTGGGTTCAAATACACTCATAGGTGGTGTCCCAATCTCAGTCGATAATAATAATAATGATTATGTAAAGAGCAAATATTTACAAATTTGGAATCTTTTCCTATTAAATTTAGTAGAAAGACCTCTACGGTTGAAGTAGGCTTGCTAGTCAAATCTTGGTCTTAGGAGGTGACAGTGTTGTTGTACTGGCGAAGATAGTGGTAATTTTAGGATACCTTAATTGTAACAGTCCATCTTTTGGGGAAGCTATCATTCAAAACTTGAAGCAATTAGAGTTCCAGCTTGCTTGCAGTCACATAATGGGTTCCAGAAACGCAAGCATAAGCTATTTTTTTCTCCAGTTCGATAGAATCTCCTGAAGAATGAAATCTGGCAGTCTATTTCCAGTAACTCTCCCAAGAGTTCTAAATCAAACTTGCTTAAGAAATAGAAGTGTTTAGGTGTTCGCAAGGTTCATCATTTGTCCATATTATTTCACTATCTATGATCGATGGTTGATTGTAGCTATAGCAACATTAACTGCTGGTAATTTTTTCAGTCCGCTACCCACTCTGGCAAGCAAGGCTTACTTCTGCCTCTCCTTCGGGTTTCTGATGTCCCGCACTATCACTGTGTGTCTCGCCTCGGCTTCCATCCACGATCTCGCCAAACAACCCAAGTTTGTCATCTTCTCAGTGCCATCGGAAGAGTTTGATGAGGAGGTAAACTTTGTGATAACATTGTTTGAATATTCATTACATAAGTCAGCTTAATGAGTTAAAATTTTATTTGCTCACTGAGTAGGTTAAAAACTGTTTTAATATGCAGTTTGAAAATGGCTGAGGGGAGAATTAATATTACCTCTCTATAATGACAACGCTGCAAACAGCATTACGGTAACCGCACAGTATGGGGGTTTACGTTGACATGTAACTTTTATAGGTTGCAGTACCCACAGGTAAAATATACTTCCACCTTCCCTTCTATGCAATAACAATGTGACTAAAGCGAGTGACAAAGTGAAACATATCCAGAAACCAAAGTTGGATTAATTTTGTATTTAAGATGTTAATATCTTATCCTTTAACAATTATTATTTTAAACCAGATTTATTTTTATTACTTTAAGGTGGAGAGATTCCAGTTTCAAGTCTGTAATGACTCAGTAGCAATCAGTGCAATGAGATTCTTTATTCTGACCAGGACAACATTAGTGACTGTGAGTAGTTTGAATCAATCACAATATCAATAGTTTATCACATATTAAGGACAAGGTTATTCGATCTGGCTGGTTATAGTGCTCGCCTAACAATCAAAAGGTTGCTGAATATTATCCTGAGAAAAGTCAGTAGATTTTTGATGGTTCAAAACTGGATCCAGCTGTTCCTGATGATTGGGTTTTGAATAAATGATACCATAGACAAAAATAATTAAATATAGACTGTCAGCCGTGCTGCTGTTACCATGGTTACCATAGGTTCCGGCGCGCACTGCTGTAGTTTACGTAGCGCGTACGCCGTAACTACGTTCCAAGCGGTGTGCGCCAGAACCTATGGTAACCGCAGCACAGCTGACGGTCTATATTTGATTCTTTTTGTCTATGATGATATACTGACTACGGTAATGGAACAGCTGATCTTAGTCAGTAACAAAGCTTCACAGACCATCACACTCTTTCACTCATGTTTGGGTTAAAATATGCACATAGGTGGCATCCCCATCTCAGTGATTGATAATAATAATTTATGTAAAACTAGAGACTAAACACAAAAGTAAAATTACTTGTTTGCTAGTACTCTACTATTTGCATAAAAAGTCTATATTACCTGAGTTATTTGTCTATATGACAAATTTTGATCCATTATTTCATATTCCTAGGTGATTGGTCTTGCTGCTACATATGAAGTTGTCATGTTCCAAATACAGACGATGGCCGAAGAAGAAACAGACATGAAGAGGTTGTCTGCTCACAATCTTACCACAGATGTCTGTGAATAATCTTGAATGGCAACAACACTCATTATTATGTGCTCAACTGTAAAAGTCTCAACTTTCTACCTACTGATGGCGTAGCATTTGATTTGATTTGAAGGTTGATGTAGAAGGTTAATATAGATCTTGAGCGAGGAGGTTCAAACCAAGATATCGTTGTTGTTGGGCTATCAGTTAGTGATGCTATCTGACAAAAGATCAATATTAGATGGTAGGAAGAATAGGGTTTGTAAGAGATGGGAACTGTCAAATTTCATATGGCATAGGAATATGAAAAATAGTTTAACCCTTGGGTTGCAACCTACGAAATATAGGAATTAATGAGTTATTTTTCAGGTTCAACACAGGATTTCAACTATTATATAATTTTAATAAAAGATCTAAGTGTTATTTCAGTGATAGCTAGGATATTTATTTCCTATTGTATAACTTTTTTCAAACATAAATGTATTGTTAACATGACATGCCAATTGTTAATGGAATTAATTATGACTAATCCTCAAACTGTGCCTTGTGGTGCCTGAGTTGAGAAGTATCAGTTACGTAAATGTCAAAAGAAATTTTAAGATAAATTATGTACTATTTTACTAAGAATTAAGTGAATGCACTGTTTTCCTACTAATATTATAAATGAGAAAGTTTGGATGTATGGATGTATGGATGTATGTTTGTGACAAGTGAACGCGAAAAATACTGGTCGGATTGGGCTGAAATTTGGCATGATGATAGCTCACATTCCCGATTAACATATAGGCATATTCTTATTTCAAAAATCCTTTCGGGCTCCGCCCCAGTGGCTCTGGAGTTTCCCATGTTAACCTTATGAGAAATGGAATTATTGAATCTTAACAGCTGTTTCAATTAAACAAGTTGATTCTGTTCTATGATGTTCAATAGCATTAAAGTTACAAGGATTACCAACAGGATGCAGCATTATTATTTCTTTTACATTTATGACAACAGCTAATTTGCAACCAAAAGGTGAGTGAGCGAAGCGAACGAACTTCAACCTGGAGGCGAGTTAGCGTAGCGAACGAGCTAACCTGAAGGCAAGTGAGCGCAGCGAACGAGCTCCAACCTAAAGGTGAGTGAGCGTAGCGAACGAGCTCCAACCTAAAGCGCAGCGAACAAACTTCAACCAGGACGTGATTGAGCCATGCGAACGAGATAATCTTGAAAATTAAGAAGTTAAACGGGGCAAAGCCCGCGGGTTACAGCTAGTATGTCATAACTCAAACTCAACTAACTTTATTTACCTTTTTACAAACATAGATTAACAAATAAACATATGATAATAATTAATAGAAATTAACAGGTGTTATGAAATAAACTGTTCTCACAACATCCTCCCTTTTAAGTTTGAAAGTTCTTCAACCAGCTTGGTTTGTGTATATTTCTCTTTGGGCGGTTGTATGGTTCTGTTTGATGTGTATTTGCTGACAAATTTTGTTCACTGTTTTCCTCTCTTAAATAAGGGGCAAGTTTGAGGTGGAATCGATTTCTTCTCACATTCCTCTTATCAGTTTCAACAATATATGAACGAGGGCTGTCCAGGATTTTCACAATTTTGCCATGTCTTCTAAGGTCCACAATCCAAACTGGGTCTCCTATATGAAGAGGATTGAGAGTTTGCACTTTGTGCCTTCTATCATAGTTGTGTTTGTACTTCTCACGACATGTTTCTTCTCTCCCTTTTAGATCCTTTAGATCTGGTTTTTCACTAAGCAAATGTCCTGTCTGAGGCAATGTGCTCCGTAATCGCCTGTTCATAAGAAGCTGAGAGGGACTGAACCCATTCCAGAGGGGTGTCGTTCGATAGGCTAGAAGCGCTAAATAAGGGTCTTCCACATTTTTCTTTAGAATCATTTTGGCGATTTTCACTGCCGCTTCAGCCTCTCCATTGCTTTGGGAAAATTTTGGGCCACTTGTTACATGCTTGAAGCCATAAACTTTGGAAAATGTCTTGAAATCTGAATGTTCAAGGACTTGAAATTGAGACCCACAGTCAGACCTAATTTCTTCTGGAATGCCGTGTCGACAGAAAAAGGCTTTGCATCTCATTATTACTTCTCGTGATGTTAATGACTCTAATTCAGCTAATCTCAAAATATCTGGAGTAATCATCTGTCACAGTCAAAAACCAAACGCCTTCAAGTTTGAACAAATCCATCGCAAGTGTTTTCCATGGCCCGTCAGGGAACTGTGTGGGAAGCAATGGTTCATGACTGTTCCTTGAATGTTTAATACAAGTAGGGCATGATTTCACCATACTTTCAATGGCTGAAGAAATTCCTGGCCACCAGACTGACTCTTTTGCACGTAAACGACACTTAGTGATTCCAAAATGACCTTCATGTACTCTTTGAAGTGCCCAAGACTGCAGAGCTGGCGGAATTACAAGTCTTGAACCTCGTAGTATCATCTCATTATCAACACTTAGCTCATCCTTAACTGAATTATACGGTTTTAGGTCATCTCGTAATGATGTCTTAGAAGGCCAACCTTGGATGATTATTTTTTTTCAGTTCACGTAAAGTCGGATCTTTATTTTGTTCCTCCAATACTTTAGCAACTATGCAGTCGTTTATATCAATGAACGACAAAACCATTTGAACAAACGCTTGAGTTTCTTCTTCTAACTCACGGTCATCAGTACCTGAAAATGGGAGAGGTGCTCTTGAAAGAGCATCAGGAACTAGAAGCTGCTTTCCAGGAATATAAGTAATTGAAAAATCATATCTCATGAGACGCAATCGAATTCTTTGAATTCTTGGAGACAATTCATCAAGATGTTTGGATTTCAAAATTTGAAGTAGTGGTTTGTGATCTGTTTGTATTGTTATTCTCTTGCCAATAATAAATTCTTGAAACTTTTCACATGCCCAAGCAACAGCTGTAGCCTCCCTCTCGATGTTTGCATAGTTTTTTTCAGAAGGAAGAAGGCTTCGGGATGCAAATGATACTGGTCGTATAGAACCATCATCTTGAACTTGAGAAAGAGTTGATCCTAGTCCTTGAAGCGAGGCATCACAGGAGATAATTGTTTCCCGATTTACATCGTAAATGGCTAGGCAAGGAGAGTTAGTCAAAATGAGTTTTATTTCATCAAATGCCTTCGCCTGCTCTGGACCCCATATCCATGGAACGTTAGCTTGAAGTAGTGAATTCATTGGGGCCAAAATCTTAGCTTTGTCAGGAATAAACTTACCAAGAAAGTTTACCATCCCATTGAACCTTTGAAGTTCTTTTACGTTTTTTGGGCAGTCCATTTTGAGAATGGCGGAAACCTTTTCCTTATCAACAGAAATTCCATCGGATGAGAGGAAATGCCCGAGGAATTTAATACTTGACTTCCCAAACTCAGTTTTGTCTTTGTTAAGTGTCATTCCTACATTTTTAAGCTTTTCAAGTACTTGCCGAACAACTGTATCATGTTCTTCTTTCGTTTTGCCCCAAATCAGAATATCGTCCATATGGACTGCGACATTTGACTGGTTGTCTAAGATTTTGTTCATGCATTTCTGAAAATGTTCAGGTGCTGATGTGATTCCAAATGGAAGTTTGAGAAATTTAAAACGTCCAAAAGGGGTAAGGAAAGTAGTTAGATCCTGGGAATTTACATTTAAGGGGACTTGCCAAAAACCACTGTTTGCATCAAGTTTTGAAAACCATTTTGCTCCTGAGATTGAGCTGAGAGACGTTTCAATTTTGGGAATCGGATGATAAGACCGCTGGATGGATTCATTCAACTTTGTTAAGTCAACACATATACGGACATCTCCATTAGATTTAGGCACTACTACTGTAATATTACATGTCATTCATTCATCATTAACATTAATTTCTCTATTATTTTATATATTTTCTCTCATAATGTCTGTTAATGCCCCTGATAATGTGTTATCAGTTATTTAATTTGTTCCCCTTGTTAATGTGTTATTTTATCCAATTTTGTTCAATGTTATATAATATCCCATCACCCCACAGAAACATCATCCTATTTTATGTTACAATATAATATTTATGCAAATTCTCTCCATACCTATTAAGTACTCATCAAAAACCAACAATAATCATTTATTTAGAATAATATATAATTGTAAGAAAATTGCAATATAGTAATAACATCTTAAATATAGTATCACTTTTCAAAATTATCCAAAGAAAATCAAAATTACTGTGGCAAGTGTCATTTATGTAAATTAACCAGCTGTACATCATTGCAACAATGGACATGGACTTCCTGAGCTTCTACCATTGCCTCTGCCCAGATCCTGCCAACTCTTCACAGTGTGAACATCATTCTATTGGAAATTGTGTTTGATTTAAACTAAAATTTATAATCCCAAAGTAAAACCTAAATTTTAAATTTCTTATCATCCAAAAGTATTGGACAAGTGCATTGAAGAGTACCAATTTATAAGAAGACAGACACTCCAAATTTGGTAACCATCATCCATCTTATTTAACTAAGGACAAATTTAATCTTCATTGGACATTTAATCAGCATAGCCTACTAGGCCAAATTAACTTAACTCATCAAGATATATATATATATTTCAAATTGAACTTTTATTCAAAATTTAATCTTCAAATTCTATTTTATTTCATTAAATTCAGTGAAACCATTTGGAATCTTTCTTTGGACATTTAACATTATTATATTAATAGCATCATGAACCTAGCTTAACTTAAGTTATTTCAGAACAATAACTAAATTAAATTATCTACATTTTAAAGAAGCCTAATATATCATTCGAACCGGCACGACCACCCCTCCCTGAATTAAGAGCTCATATTCAAATATTAATTAGTACTTTAGAAGAAACCAACCCAATAAGCCTAGAATAATATCATCCACTTTGGAAACCCCACCATTTTGAAAATTTACCATTGTTAACTTACCCTGTAGCTAATTCAACCAATAACTTATCTTATATTTGTATTTCATTAATAAATTATATATTGTAACATACCAAATCTCTTTATTCAATAATTCATATAGGCCTATTATAAGATTAAGATAAAGACTTACCTCATTAGACAGAAATAAAACATAAATTAGGAATTATCTTTATTAGGAAAGAAATGACTTTGGATTCAATGTGGGCTAACTTATTAGCCAAAGGAATTTTGTAGGCCTAAGTTAATGAAAAGTCTATAGAAAGCTTTATGGTGTGTAGCACTACCATTGCTGAGCACCATTCAGTAGCATGCTCAACTGGTGTGATTACATTATTTTCTACCATACTTTCTAGTTCTTTTTTCACTTGACACATTAGGGGTAAAGGTACTGTCCTAGGAGTGGTTATTGCGTATGGCTTTGCGCCATCCTTAAGTGCTATTGTGTAGGGATCAGGAATGACGCCTAGACCACTAAACATTTCATGGTATTCGGTAAAAAAGTCACTGTCTACCTCTGCAACTGAATTATCAAGTCCTGTATTGCTGGACGACCAAGCAAGGGTGTTATGAGTCCCTTCACTACGTATACCATGTGATTTATTTTAACATCTCTGTATTGGATATTAGCTTTAACACAACCTACAGTTTCTAATTTTGTTCTACCAGCCCCAAACAACTCAACTAGAGTCGGCTGGATCCTACTTGGATCAACTATGCCAGGGGGAATTACTGTTACATATGCCCCTGAATCAATTTTAAATGTTTGTGGTTTTCCCTCAAATACTAATTCTAGTTTCCAGGGCTTACATTTTGACCCATCCCCAAGTGTACCTATGAATACTTTATTATTTGAAGGTCCAAGTTCACTTACTTCATTTTCGTCAGTTACTTCCTGTGCTTTAGATCTGCAGACCTTCGAAAAGTGACCAATCTTTTTGCATAAGTTACATGTTGCGCTTTTTGCTGGACACGTGCTTCTTGGATGGGACGGTTTATAACCACACCAGATACATTGCGCTGGGTATTCTTGTTTCTTTTGACGAAACCTATATCCTTGATTTTGGTTTGAACTCGATGACGTAGTTGCTTCAATTTGAACTCTTTTCTCATCACATAAATCTGCCTTCTCTTTCTTTACCTACGTTATCTGCATGTCTTATTACTGTAATGGCCTTGTCTAAATTCATCTCGGGATCTAGCAACAAGCGATCACTAAGTTTCTCATCATTTAAACCCAGTATTAGCACCATCAACACCATTTCATCATTAAGTGAACCCCAGTCACAGGTTCTAGCCAAGGATGGAGACTAACTATAAACTCTTCAACTGTTTCATTAATTTTTTGTTGTCTCTTCAAAAACTTTGCTCTTTCAAAAATTAAGTTCCTCCGTGGAATAAAATGTTTGTCAAATAAATCTAAGACTTCTTCAAATGTTAGCGTTGATTCCGTTGCTAAATTAAAAGATGCAAAAATCTCATCAGCTTTCTCACCTAATGTGTATATAAGAGTGTTGATTTGTTTGTTCTCAGACTCTTCAGATAGCCCAGATGCTGGCCGATATCTTTGAAATCGTGTTTTCCATCTTGGCTAATCTGCTGGTACAAAGGAGAAACTAGCTGGATGTTGAATAACTGAATGAGTGTTTGATACAATGATTGACTTCTTAGTTGAATTGTTGTATTCATTTTCTCTGCTTCTTTCATTTTCATTATCTTCATAGTCAGATTGTTTCCTTCTTGGATTTCTCTTCTGAGGCATAGCTCTAAACCGCTGCCACCATGTACTATTTTACTAAGAATTAAGTGAATGCACTGTTTTATGTCATAACTCAAACTCAACTAACTTTATTTACCTTTTTACAAACATAGAATAACAAATAAACATATGATAATAATTAATAGAAATTAACAGGTGTTATGAAATAAACTGTTCTCACAACAAATTATAACATATTTCAGTAAAAGTTTTTATAAAAATGTTATAATCATACATAATTTTTACCTTACCCCATAGTTATATTTTAACAAGTTAACATCACAGGAATTTAATTAAATATAGAGTTAACATTTTAATTTAAATAGCTTTAATAGTTTGTTATTACTACAACTCACAGCCATAACATTTTAATGAAGCTAAATTATAACAACAGTTTTATACTACAAGAAATTAAATAAACTCTGTACAAAAGTTAATAAAATCTAAATCTAGACATTAAATAAATTGGAATATCTTAAGCATATAACGAACATACAATTAAGGAACTAAATAACAAATTATATTTTTAGTTTGTACTCGACTAGAAACACAATAGATATAAGAAGAAGGCACTTTGTGGTGATGAAATTGGTCTTGAGACTTGAAGGTGACACTGAAAAATATTACAAATGATTTAGTTTAAAGAATAAGAAAAAGAAAACTACTTTGTATGTTGCAGCTGATCAACGTTTTGACAAACCTCAGCTGTTGAGCTATTGTTTCAAAGGTAGGATCAATTAGAAGGGATAGATTTCCTCCCTAAAACCACCTAAATTTTGTGAACGGAGGAAAATTAACTGGCAAGTATATGAGTGAAAATTTAAAAACGTACGTTTTCATGTCCCTGGCCTTTTACTTCGTAGATACTGGATTTATAGTTTATTATTATGTGTTTTAATATTTTTTGGGACGGGGGCAACATGTTACACACATTTATTTGGTTTTAAATAGGTTCTAGGTATTTTTTTCGTATTTTTAAAGTCTCAAAATTCACGACCATGACGTGTCCCTAGGGTACATTTTCCAACTTTCACGCTGTTTTTAGACTAATTATTCATGCCGAAATATATAAAGCCATATTTTTATGTCATCAATGGTTATTAAACTTACAAAAAAGGAGCATATTATAATTTTATTGTCATTGCAGACTGACTACCATGACAAAATAAGTCTGTCCCTCGATTTGGCGTCACGACCATTTGGGAAAAATTTTCAACTTTGGAGCACGACAGTGGCAAGCCTGGCGTCGATGGAGTCAGTTGGTTTTAGAGACTAGTTCGGGGTGTACGTCAGGATTGTAGTGCCGGTCGTTTTGAGTTGAAAGGAGGAATTACAAGATTAATAAAGGAAAGATTGTGTTTTTTGTAATTTTGGTGTGTCCATGACCGTACGTAGTCATTCGATGAAGTAGACATGGTGTTAATTTTTGTTTATAAGACATTTCAATTGCTAGATTAACCTAGAAGTCCACTTTGTATCCTCGAACATGAGGTGCAGGGCTACCGCCAGAACAGAGCCAAATAACACGTAATTTCACGACCAAAGTTTCACGACCATCGCGGTTTTTTTCACGACCAATCCAGCCTTATGGATTATAGTGTGTTTGGTCGTGACAATAACTTTAATATAATTGTAAATTGAACAGTTTAGTTCAATTGAAACACATAGTTTTATTATAACTAACAGTCTAATTGAAGGATTGTTTAGAAAGATTTTGATTATTCCAGAGAATTCACGACCGTACCGCTTGTCCCTGACCATCACGTTTATGATTTCTATCATAAAAATTTCAAAAATTAAAATATCGTCATATTTCAATGTTTTATACACAAAAGAAGCACACCTCTATACAAACATAAAGATTTTTCTGGTCTCAGGTAAGTTTTTTCGGAGTTATACAAACTTAAAAAGATTTTATTGGCTTTTTAATATTTTTTGAGTTTTTTTTATTTTTTTCTAGAAAGACCAAATATACCAAAAGCTCAGTGACCTTTTTATTGTATAATGGTCATAAAAGTAAATTAGTTTATAGCAAAACATAGTTATAAAAATAATATTAACTATTTTTAATATTCATTTAAACGTCCGTTATGGTCGTGACAGGATTTTGTGTTTTTCTACGAAAGACGCTCTTTAAAAAGAAAACTACTAAAGATATTGCGTTACCATGGACATTTTATGAAACTTCAAATGTTAATGAAATAAAAAAAATAATAAAAGTTTTGAAAAAAGGGGAAACAAATTTTCAAAGTGCTTTTCCTGAAAACGTACGTTTTTAAATTTTCACTCATATAATTAACTATCCAAATCAGTCTTGCCATTGAAACTAAATTGTGTTGTGAATTTTGAATGCACAATAAACCACTTGAACTCTTTTCAATCGACAATTAATTGTTTATACATTATGTATTTCCAAACCAAGTTCGTTCTGCTCAAAAAACCAATAATAATTTTGTTTGAGGGAAGGTTCTAGGTAAGGATTTTAATATTTAGAAAAAAGAGATAGCAGCAAAACTGCTCATACTACATACAGGAGACACAGAAAAACTTGATGGATTTTGTCCCCTGGAAGTTCCCTCCTGAAACTCCACAATTCCCCTCCCCCTATGGCCTACCTGGACTATCTCTAAGGTTGGATAGTACTCTCTATTCTAAAAATTAGAATAATAATAGGCCTAATTATAGTCGGCTAGTGGTCATAATAATACACATAACATCTTGTAATACAGTATGCCTACCGTTGGATGATGCAGCCAGCTCCTGATGATGTTCCAGTATAGGTATACTGGCACTACTCAAGTGATAGACGCCACTAACAGCTGCCTCGCACCTGACCCATACTGGACCTTCACTTGACCCGAGCTTGTCCACCTCCAGCACAGCCAGACCCGGCGCTAACACTCTCACTGCACTCTTGTTGACCTGTCAAACAACATGGATAGTTCAAAGACCTTAGATAGCATACTGGACCTTCACTTGACCCGAGCTTGTCCACCTCCAGCACAGCCAGACCCGGCGCTAACACTCTCACTGCACTCTTGTTGACCTGCCAAACAAGTACATGGATAGCTTAAAGACCTTATATAGCATACAGGAACCGAGCTTGTCCACCTCCAGCACAGCTAGATCTGGGGTTAAAATCTCCCAAATAAGTACAAGGCTAGTTCAAAATATTTTGAATATCACACTGGAGTGACCAACAAATACCACCAATAATATAATGACTTTAGGATACTGTAAATAGACTTCATCATAATATCTGGACTTCTCGTGATCGAGGTCAGTCTGGATAACGGGCTTCCCAGTTAAACCAACTTTTTTATTAAGAAGGTCTAAAGCATACTATATAAGTCTACTGCTTAACTAACCAAATAATATTACTTTATTTTGCCAACTAGCCGATTAAAAAACCTAAAAAGTCAAGTCTTATCTGTTTACATTGTTGGATTTTTTCTGCACCAATATTAGCTAAGATAGTAGATTTTGCCTCTTATACAACCTGTACATTGTAAATTTATAACAATGTTAACACTACTACAGTTTTTAACAGAATGTTTAGTTAAGAATCTTAACCACACCTTTACATCATCGAGGTAGAATGAAATGTTAGGAGCCGGGACGGTTGGCTGGGCCGAACAGTTGACTTGGATGGGTAAACCTGCCACATGTACGCTGGAGCTTGGTATGACTAGAGGCTTGCGGAGGCCGATATCTGAAATATTACACAATAAATCATTAAAACCTCCATTCAGCACTTTCAACTTTGACAACAAATTTTAAAATTAATAATGTTACAATGTTTTAAGAACTTTTTAATTTAGTTATCTATAAATTTCTTGGATGTCTCGTGTTCTTGAAGTATATTCACCGATCCGCATTTCGTCACAGGGTGTGTCATCTTCAGAGTTACATTAAATTAACTGCATTCTAATCTTCTCTTAGATAGTCAGTAACAAAACTACATACAGGTATAGGTAATCTCACTCCATTTTACATTTATCATTTACTCGCACTCAGGTTAAAATTAACAGTATTGGCTGCCTGTTCTAGACTTTATGATATCATGTAAGTTTTACCGATGACTGTGAGGTTTGCTGAGTCGGAACTTGTGCTGAAGAAGGGTTCCTCGGCAGATACTTCACATGTAAACACACCGGAGATATGCCGGGTCAGCACTCGGATAGTGACCTGCTGACCACTAGACCCATTCATCTGTAACATCAGGAAACTCTGAGGGTTTACTCTACATTAGTACATTGGGGAATGTAAAAGTTTTTCGCTGTTGAACACGTTTTTATTTCAGTACTCAAAAATTATGTACAGAAATCTCAAAATCTCAGAACGGAATTTTATTTTTTTAACTATTTCAAATAATGCAACTAAGCTTTGCACATACATTGTTCCATACATAAAAATCTACTAATTTCAAACTTGCATAATTTCTTTTCCATCATACTGGTCCACAAGGACCCAACAAAAAATCTTAAATTCTAGCATAGGTTTGAGTAGTGCATTAAATTAAAAGCCTCTAACAGGAGAACACAATGCCACAAACCAGACCACAAACAGTTCATCCTTGCCAAAATGGCAGATATTCAAAATTATGTTTTTGAGCTTGTTGAAAGTCATTCAAGCAGGAGAGGACAGAACAATGTTAAAATAATTGGGTGGTATCAGCATGTATGGAGGTTAAAATCAATAAAAAATAGGGAAACCTCAAAAATCATTATGGTACTTAACTCTTGAGGAGTTTGTACGGCTTTGCCTTCAAAGACAAAATGAAAGATGATCGTAGAAATTACAAGATGATGAAGAAACTCACATCAACCTCGAGTCCCGGTAGAGGGAAGGTCGTGGCGGGAGGGCGCTCCTTGGGTAGGAACCTGTAGAACTCATAGTTCCCTCGGTACCACTTGACTGAGTAGAGGTTGTCAGCTGTGAGGTTATGGAGACAAACCAGAGTCACTGTAGAACCTCTCCTGACAACAGGAGGAACCATCACTCTCACCTCCGTTCGTCCTGCTGAACAACAAACTGGACACATTGGAAACTTTTTGGTTCAGCAATTTTTTTTTAAAGCTAGACAATTTTTATCTAGGCTATAATGGAAAAGTCAAAATTTGTAGCTTCCTTTTAGATTCTGGGCTCTTTCAAAATCTAAAAAGTCGTCTTGTGTTTTTTTTTTTATTCTTTATAATTATTCGCATGTGTTATTTTGTTTTTATCCTAATTTATTCCTTTGATGCTTTTTTCTCTTGTTCATTTTTTCTCTACTTATTTAGCTCTCTTGTCCTCCGCCTATTTCATTGTTTTTTATGTTTATCCACATAAATTATCATAGCTACTCCCACCTTAGCCATTTATTTGACAAGCTTATCCGATTGGTAAAAGTATGTGTCAGATTCTGGTATAATTTATTTCTTGTCAATAACTGTTAAATTCAATAGAGGCTACAAGTTTGTACTACCATAGACAAAAAGAATTAAATATGTCAGCCGTGCTGTGGTTACTATAGGTTCTGGCGCACACCGCTGGGAGCACCATGTAGTTACGTAGCGTGTATGCCGTAACTACATGGCGCTCCCAGCGGTGTGCGCCAGAACCTATGGTAACTGTAGCACAGCTGACGGTCTATATTTGGTTCTGTTTAATTCTATTTGTCTATGCTACTACTGTTTTGTATTGGAGTATTTTAGAATACATGTTTTTACACTGATATTTAAATTATTTTTTATTTTCTTACCAGAGGCTAGGTGAAAGCAGAAGAGAAGGATAAGTATAAGCAGCATAGTCTCCATTGTGGCATCTCTACCTGGTCTGGACAACAAAATAATTAATTATATAAAATATTTAAATAATAATAAATTGTAGTAGTACTGTATAGTTATTGACTTAATAGTTGTTGAGCAAAGATTTATTCGGGGTGAAATTTCCTAAGAAAAAAATAACCAACAATGCTACAAAATTCTTTTAATAGAGTTATTATGTGCTCAAAGTCTAGTAGATCATTGTTTATACTTCACACCATCATCTATAATTTTATAAAAAAATCTGAGGCCTAAATCATGAGTCTGTAAACAAGTAGTTTATTATCAAGACAGAACGTTTTAATTATTCAAACAATTAATTTAAATCAACCACAAATGTTAAGGCAATTTGAAAATCATGGAACATGATGGTGTTAACTTATATAGATAGTAAAACATCCATATTTCATATTTTGTTTATTTTTATCTAGCCTTGTTGCACAAATGGTGCTTCAAATTTGATTTTGTAATAATGCATGGAGCCGAATAAAAATGCTGTAAATCTTTCCATTCATTCAATCGGGGATTATTTTTTAAGACAAAATCTACTGGAGCAAACAACTCAAGAATGTCTGGGGAAATTGCATTCATTATTTCATGATTTTATTTTCTTACATTTGCAATGGTTCACTAACATAAAATTCATCTAGTATTGCATTGTTGTATATCACAGCTGATTATAGTATTCAATTTCGAAACAGGATTAAATTACAGTATTTTATTTACCTTAAGGCTACCGATTATGCACTGAGAGATCTATATGAAGTGTCTGTTACATGTAATATATTGAAAACGCCGCCTGGCGCTTATCCTCTAAACAACATGACGTTAAGTGCTGTTATCTTGGTTATAATAGAGAAACCGACATTGAGCAGAGGTGTCTAAACATGACGCGTGTTAGATTATAATGAAGTGAAACTAAACAATCATCTTCTAACCTACATTTTAATTATTTCTCGAAGTGGGCTAACGGTAGTACTTAACCCTAGCAATCTAAAATTACTTTGTTTGTGTTTCCAAGATATCACTTTATGAAAATTCATTTAAACAATGATAGTTCAAAGAAATGTCCGATCCATTACGTTTTTTGTAGTTCAAAAGTAGCTAACCTCATGTCTGCTTACCAAAAAAGATATCCATTTTTTAGACATAGTGACAAACTTGATGTAGGCCAGCGTAAAAACACTTACTATGAAAGCATTAGCGTTGTTAATAACTAAGATCAACTATTTTTAGCCAGGATAAAATTAGTAACCAGTACAGTATTATAAATGATTACTTGAGTTTGTAGTAAGACATATTTGGATAAAAATAAAACTTGCCGACGAACAAATTTATTGAGGAGTCTTTATGAAGAGCATTTTGTTAATTGTAGTCCTAAATAATATACGTTTCACAAAGTGATTTAGTTTGAGTATAAAATAGCAATACTATTAATATTAGTTAATCAACTACTCCTTCTCAAACCGTAAATCTAACATTTTCGATCAAAACTGAAAGAACTTTTATTAGGCTACCTGGTTACTTTCATAGTTGCATTTTATTATTATTTGTGTACATTTATGTTTCTGAAGCACGATAATTTTGTCGATTTGTAAAAAGATTACTTAAATTTAGTAAAAGCATTGTTTAATTTAATTAGTTGTACATACATTTCATTTATCACATTAGAAAATAGTATTTTCCGAAGTTTCTGAACGAAATGACCACAATAATACATCAAATAATATAAACTTACCATCCTGAAAATTTAACCTTGAACATGAAAAACGTGATTAGCCATTGGGTAAAACATAGCACGCTTTTAACTCCCATTACAGCAAATAATTGGTTAAAAAACTTATTATCAATTCATAAATTATTGTGAAAACTATGCTTAAGTGTTTTGTATGGGTTATATTAAGGCGGATAAAATCAGCTGAGCAAGACCGACAGAGATTGACAGGAATTCTGATAACAGAGTTTTATTGAGTTCGAGCATCAAGATAAGCAAAATTAAGAATGTATCTGTAAAGAACCTTTTATTTTGACTTCATGCATAAAACAGTATTTTGGTTGCTTACTTACCTTTGAATATAAGCCTAGATAGAAATGAAAAATATTCCGATATTGTAGATACCTAATTATAGTATAAAAACACAAGTTAGTTGTTAAATTGAATTCATTGTCAATCAGTGATTTATGCTGTAGGTTATACACCAACATTTGAATTAAGCCAGATGATATGCCTACTTCTTAAAACTATAGCTATTTTTAATCATGTAAACTATCATGGCATCAACAACTAAGAGAAATAGTTATTTGTGCAACTAGTGAGAAAAGTGAGCAATTGACTCACTCGAGAGACTTACTCACGAGCCGTAGGCGAGTGAGGAATGGTTTCTCGAGTGAGGCAATTGCACTTTGAACTCGAGTTGCACATTATACTTTTCCTACATTTACCATAAAACAAATAAATTGGTGAAGAAACATAACCTATTTTTACGCAGAAGTGAACTTTTAATATAACATTTAATGTGAAGTGACAAATACAACAGTACAACAGCTGACCACCTGATTTACAGCCAGTGCTGCCAACGTATTTCGCGCGCATGCGACGTTGCCTACATGTTACGCGCTCACTATTTCGTGCCATCACGTTGCAAATCTGGAGTGAGACAAAATAGTTAGAGTGAGACAATGTTGACATTGTCTCACTGATGAGCGAATTGGCCACTTTGCTTTCTCAAATCAGTGAGAGAACATGTACATTGTTAGGTAACTGTAGGAAAAATAATACTTTTAGCAGTAGCATAACCTTTGAAAGGCTAATTTAACTACATTTTTACCTGGATATAGTCCATATACATAGATGAAATGTCTACGATGGGAATAGAGGATGATAAAAAATCACTGACCAATAATAGTTTAAATTTAAAAAAATTATAATTTTTGTTTTAGCGAATTTCCCTATAGGGAAGTAGCTATTACCGTAGGTGGCACGGTAAGACCTAGACCCGGGACCGATTTACTTTTTCATTTTAATGTCCCCAGAGGCCAAAAACACCATTCGTTCAAATTGTTATATATGTATATATATATATATATATAGATTTATACATATATATATATATATACGTCCGTGAACGCGATAACTTGAGTAATTTTGGTCCGATTTTGATGAAATTTGGTTTAAAGGTGTAAAGCGAGATAAACTTGAATGAGTTCGCGAACTAGCATGATCGGACCATAGGAACGGGGCTTTAGGGGGGGTTTTATGGGGTAAAAATTGGTTTTTCTCACTTTTGACCCTCAAAACACAAAATTTCCCGATTTCTCTTTAGACCTTTTTAAAGAGCTTAAAAAAACAAATAATTTAGTATATAACAGTATTTTTGTTCGATTATTAGTAACGGAGAAAATTAAAAAAATTGTAAATTTAAAATTCCCATGTTATTCTTATGGAGAATATTGTCAAATGTTGTAATTTGCTTGTTTATGGATATATTTTGATCAAACTTGGCAAATTTATTTATTTTGTACTAAGCTATCAATATTTTACTCCAAAACACACTTTATTAGGTTCCTTGTAGCAGCAAACCTAGGTACTCGTTAAACCTAATGTTATTAAAATATATTTAACTGAAAATCAATTCAGACAAATGGAAATTCGCTTAGTCGGCAGGTTTGCTGCGGCGGGGGTATTATATATTTACATAAAATACAAACACGCAAACTCATACAATTTAGCCATAAAAGCCATAAGTGGCTTGTCTGCAGCATAAAATTATTCAACATGTTTCAAACAGTATTTTCCCTTTCCTTGTTTCTCTTTAAACTAACAATAACAAAAAATATTATATTAAAAACTGGAATATCAAATATTTAGTTTGAATTAAGTTAACTTCAACGCATACATCTTTGCTCATATCAGTGCCAAAATCTATGAGGGCACACGTTGGCGTTTACTATGAATGACAGGCACTAATTTGTTGATGTGCTAATTAGCAAGGTAATCGATGATAGTTTGGACAGATATAAATTATCCGTAGACGTACGAGTAAGGAGTACGTTAAAATCGGCTTCAAGAATAATTGTGAATTTTATCCTTGCTAGTTAGACTACCACAAAATACTGTAAATGTTGAGTTGTAATAATTTGTTTGATTTCTTCTCTTTTATAAAATTGTTTTATGTATTGCCTACATGACGTCAATGGTGAAATTATGATGCAACGGTGATTGAGGGACGAATATTGATTACATAGTTTTTTTCCTTCTTCTTTTTTACTAAGATCAGCTGGTTCTTATACTGTATATTAAACCAGAATTATCTATGCACTTAAAACAATAATAAGTTTCCCTGTTACATACCTTTTCCAGCCGTCCTACTTAACCAATTTTTACGATTGAGGTGTCATTTCAATGCTTATGATCCAAAGAACTTGCGAATGGTAGTTAAAATTAAAAAGTAAATATCCATGAGTGCTTCACCCCCTCACGTTTAATTTATTTCTAGAGTCCCTTTAAAAAATACGGTTATGCTTACCAACTTTCTTTATAAGATCTAAATGTGAGTTGTAACTTAACATCTCTTCCTTCAGTTGAATTTAACCACAGTCAGATTGTAAACAAGAGACAAAAAATGTATTTTAGATAGGCTACTTTTTTGACAACTAACTGTGACCTGATTGAGGTAGGTACTCTTATATAGTGTAGATCTAAAATCAACAAATTTACCGTAAATTTTTTGTTCTATTAATCTAATAACTGTTCTAAAACATAATCTGGAAAAGGTAAATATCAATTGCACTGTTCATTTTGGCTCGAAAACAAGCTTTGGATCCTAAACTGCGAATTTTGCGCACCGGTCTCTCGTACGCAACATAATTTTTATGTCATTAAGTTAAGAGAGTAAAAGTATTTATCGTTGTCTTATCAAAGAAAATTTAAGAGCTCTAAATTAAAGTCGCATAAATAGGCTAATACAGTATCCAAAAAATATTTAACCAAACAAAGCAAATCGTTCTAAGATGTTTTTGAACTCCACAGAAACAGATAAAAAGAATATTTCGTTGAAAATTAAGTTTAATGAGTAATGCTTAAATCCTACATAGATCCTATAAATGCAAAATGAATTTCGTTCAAATAAAAACTTATATTTACACGTGTTTATCGAATGCCATCAAAATCTTATGGTTTTTTCGGGTTATCGTGCTAATGGACATATTATATATATATATATATATATATATATATATATATATATATACGAATTTGGATGGATTGTGCTTTTTAGGTGTGAAAGTCGTAACGAAAAATTAAATCGTCCAGGGGTTATGTATTACCACGACGGAAATTCACTAAAACATATTTATATGTTTACAATTTACTACAAAAGGTTTGGGAAAATTGTTATAAAATTATTGTTTGCTAGATTTATATTAACATGTTTTAAAGTATATTTTAACTAGAATTGTTATAAATTGTTATAAAACTTGTAAAAACATTTATCGACATCAATTTAAACACTTTGGAGAGTAAGTTATATTTAAAACAGAAAGTATCAAAGATAGATATGTTTTCTAAGACAAAATTAAGACAAATAATATTTGCGTGTATTTTTATTCAAAATAAAATATTGCCCAAACACCTTTTATAAAAAAAAACGTAGATAAATATTCATCTTCTAAAAGAAGAGGAAATATTTATTTAAGTTTAAAAATATGCTTCAACAAATATTTCCTCAAATAGACACTCAATGGAAAATCAAATAATACAAAAAAAATATATTCGCCCCACGTATTATAAATTATTAAAATTAATAATCACAGATTAATGTAATATTTTCCAAAAATTAAATTATTCTAGATAGGTACCAGAAACTTACTTAATTTCACCAGAAACCAAAGTAAAAATGTTCTTGGATTTATTTAAATGATACACTCCAGAGATGAACAATACACTTACCGAAAGCTGCGACGAGGTGGCTGTGCTCCTCCCGCGCCGTGGCGGTGGAAATATAACAACTGACTTCTTCACAGCATCAACACTAGCCTACTGTGTCTTCTCCGTGACCACAACTGACACAGTCTCCACTCCCCAGTCCTCTATAGCCGCGTTACACCAAAGTTTTCCACTAGTTGATCCTAAATTAGTGAGGGGCAACTTTTGGTTTTTCTCAAAAAATCTTCCACTAGTTTCTCAAATTTAGTCAGAGCAACAATTAGTTGTAAACTTGTACTTTTATACAAGGTGAGTTTTAAATGAGTTCCCCCCCTACTTTTTTCTACATTTCTTAAGATATCAACTCCGGACCACGTCAGATCATTGTAGAATAGTAAGTACTTCATTTTTACTGGGTACAAATTTTTGGCCGCCATCTTGGATCCGCCATATTGGATACGAAGTTTTTCAAATGTAAAGGTAGGGTTGTGACCCTTTGTTTTGAACTAGATTTTTACGCTGAATACGATGCTGCAATCCGTTTTTAAAAATATTATCCATTCTAAAGTTATGAGAACTTTTTATAACTTTATTTTTAGCCTATTTTAACATTGCATTTACAAACTAAGACCATAATCGCAAAATAGTGATAGATAAAGATAAGTATACACCACCAGTCATTGTCAACCTATTTAAACTTGGTTATGACGGATGTATTTTTTCGGCCACCATCTTGGATCCGCCATTTTGAAATGAGATAAATTATTTTAAATATGAGAGTGGTGTTGTGACCCATCATTTTGAATTAATTTTTTATGCTGAACTCAATGGCGCAATCAATTTTCCATTTTCATATTTTGTTTTTGAAATATTGACATTTTAAGTAAAATAATTGTGATAGTTATTCAAGAAAGCTTGATAACAAAAAACTTCCCTAGAGCCCAAAACAATAATCGTACAATTTTTTATCATTTATATTATGTATGTGTCTGTGAACACGAAAAATCGAGTAATGTTGTTCCGACTTTGATTAAATTTAGCATGAATGAGTAAATATGGATAAACTTTCGAGTTCGCAAACCAGTAAGATCGGTTCAAAGAAACGGGGTGTCATAGGGTTTTGATGTTTTCCATAAATTGATTTTTTCACATTTTTTATCCTTAAAACATTGAAATGCCCAGTTTTCATTACCACCATCTTGAGGAGCTTAAACAAAACAAAATATTTCATAATATTAAAGCAATGTTAAACAATTAAAAGTTGAGAATAAAACATGTGCATTTAAATCCACATGTTATTCTTATGGAGAAAAAAAAACTGTTTTAGTTTGCTAGTTTATGGATATCTTTTAACCGAACTTGGCATATGTATTTATTTAATCTTGTACTATTAAAATTTTATCAAAAACTATTTCCCCTTTCCCGTAGCAGCAAACCTAACTACTCGTTGAATCTAACGTTATTTAAAGGGGGGAATAAGTATATGACCTGTTTATGGAAATATTATAGTTAAAATCAAATCAAACTGGAAATTCACATATAGTATGCAGGTTGCTGCAGCGGGGGTATTTTTAAAAGTAGGTCAGATGTCGAGATTTCACATAACTTTATATTGGAAACCATAATCTAGAATATTTTAGTTTCGAGATTGTTTCAAGAGAATGGCCGAGTGTCTAGTAGACAACGAAATGCCGGGAAGATGATCTACAGACGACAACTGCCAACAGTGGTGTCGCATAGCTCATAATGGGTTTGAGCAACACTAGGACTGTCTGATTATTTCTAAAATCGGCTAGTAGAAAATGTATGATGATGATGACAGTGTATTTTCCTAACTATTAGAATTGCCTACAAAGAAGGAAAGAAAAACTTATCACCACTACTAGTTAACTAGCCTAGTTTGAGGATACAAATGTAAATTTTAAAACCAGACGAAAAATAAACAACACATTTCACATGACAGTGTAAAATTTATTGTATTAAAACACACATAATATTTAGCTGGTTACACCTTTTAGATAAGGACTTTACTCAACAAGCTTGCAAACTTCGGGCTAATTTAACGTGTTGTCAGAAGTACAACATCTACTATATCAACAACTCCTTTAGTATATCTACTCCACTTCAACGTCTGAGGTTTATTTTTAGGAAACTCCTCCAAATCATAAACTCCTCTCCAGACAGTAGCCCAGTCAATAAAGGTTTTATGTCGGAACAAATTAGTGACAAGCAAAACTATATACCACTGGATAGTACACATAGAGATGTACATTTTCCCAAAAGTCCCCTAAAATCCCCCAGGTGCTTTCCCCCCCACCCCCCCTCAAAGTCAGGAATTGCAAGGTTTTACTAAATCACGCTTAAGTCCAGTATGGTTTATCCGATTGTAATCATTTATAGCTCGTTATACTCCTAAATAAATTGTCTAAAATAAGTTCCTTTACACTTTTGCGTTAAATCCAATATTTTCTTCAAAATTTAATGATAAACTCTAAAAATAAGCAAATCTTTAAGCCGATATGTCAGTTTTTCTGCCGTAGTTTTTTAAATAGTAGAAAAAATGAAAAACGCCTTCTCTAAAGGTTGTAGAGAATGTCTTTCTGAACATTTTCATATAAATAAGTATAGGATTGTGATATAAATATGGGCAGGGGAACGGTAAAACGAGACGAGAGTCTGGGCCTTGACGACGCAGCGCAGCCGTCGTGCCTCGCGCCGCCTTATAACCGCGAGTGAAGTTATCCACCCTGGGTAAGGTACCGTACAGAATGAGTTTGTTATGCAAAATCAATTATCTATTAATGAGGTTTGAACTAATACTGTCAGAGACTACACAGTAGACTTTAGTCAGTGTTATACCTATTATTTATTTATTTATCTAATTTCTTATAATCTTTAATGAAACTTTAAATATTGCCCTAGTTTCAAATAATTACAAATGCCAGTATGCCTGTAATTAATTATATGAACTCTTATTAAATTATAGTTTAACACGTAGAGTGTGGCCGTTCCCGATCGGGTACGGTGCTTGGCCCCCGTCCGGTGCGTCCGTACCCCGCTCGACAATGCCTTTTGTATATCTTCGTGTTTGCTCTAGCGTCGGCCGAAAGTGGACCTATACCACGTTAGCGTGTAGTATGACACTTGCATTGTGACTTACAGATGAAGTCTCCTTGAATGTAGATAAAACTACAATTGGGCAAGATTCGTACCCTTATAAATAATAGTAGAAAATAATCTGTAACACACGTCCTTTTCTTATAGTGTAGACATCTTTTTGTTCCAGTTTTTATACTATAACTATACAAAATAAAATACACACTTTGTTGTGCAATCTAACGTATATTCATTCTTGAGGCCAATTCATTGTTTGCTTCCCAATATTACGGTTTTAGGACTTTGACTTTTCGGCAATGATATTACATGTAATCAAAAATAGTTTTAATACCTTCCAAAGTTCCAATTGCTATAAACGAAAAAGTGTAAAATAGGCCCTAATACAGACATTAGCAAGCTAATAAAAAGCTTGAATTACTATTATTTTTAGTCACCAACAGAGAAAGATGGCAATCATTCTTTTAATTTGGGAAATATCCAAAATTCTTATCACAATTAGCCAAACCGTGCGTGTTTTTGGTGTTTGATATTTTATAAAAATAAAATACAAAACAATGTTAAATAAAAACAACAATTAGGGATAAATCACGAACATATACTTTTATTTTTTGGAATGAGTACGGTTATGAAATGTTATGCCAAAAATAGGTAATTATTAGAAATGATTGTTTTGGCAGTACATTATCACTGTTCTTGTTTTTTCCTCCATTCGCCCGGACTTGCCCGGTTGGAGTGTAGGAGTTTTGCCAACGGGTATTAGGTAGAAAGGGTCCCCATCCATGAATTCCACATACTGCGGAGTTTTGCCAACGGTTGTGGGTTGCGCGAGAGGGGGAGGGGGAGAGAGATTACACGTGACCGTGAGGGTGACTTCCGCTAGGGGTGGACAAACCAGGCAGGATGCTGACTGTGTTCAAAGTATGTAATGCAGTTATGCACCTCTGACTGTGAAAGGAAATGTATTGCATTTTTAACCTAACCTAACCTAACCCACTGCGACAAGCGCATAACTGCCAAGCGTATACAACCCTGACAATCGCTCCCCTTCCGGACGTCAAACTCTTTCTCCCACCACCACCGTTGGCAAATCTCCGCACCAAGAGGTGGCCGAAGGCATCCTCCCCATCTACCTGACACCCGTTGGCAAAACTCCGGTTCCCGCCCGGTTGCCCAGGCTCTCAGCCATGCTTTAATCAGACTTCTCTTTCTCAATGTACTGTACTACCGCAGAACATTGATTTGTTCCTTTCAAACATGAAACCTAGCCTCATTCTGAACCCCCCCCCCAAACTATTAATTTAATTCAATAAAAATTAAATTATCTTGTTAATTATTATATGCAGCTTTAGTTTTATTTGTTATTTTTCTTTCTGTTTCTGTATTATTGATTGAATTGTAAACTGTTATGTAATGTTGCGTTTTTAGCATCATAAAAATAGAAAAAGTATTATTGCACAAGTGTGTTTTCATTATTTTGCAACGTAGGCGTAATTATTTAACATTAGACTGTATAACAGTTTTAAGTAAATAAAGTAGTTTTATTGCTAAAACACGCCTCTCTAACACACACTTTGTCCCATTCATTGTTCTCCTAGTTAGAATAAAACTGAACAACCGGCGTAACCCGCAGTTTTGCCACCTATAGGAACAAAAATATCCCAACTTGTGTCCGAAAATAGCGTAGAATAAAATAGAGCGGTGTTATTATGAGAGGTTAGCCACAGCCAGCTGTTAGGCCCCTTGTTACCGCCAGTGGTGTCTTGATCGTCGTCGTTATTCGCCGGTTCACTGCCACCGCCTCATTAATCACCGCGTTGGACGCCGTTCTTGTTCTCCTCTCTCGCTGATTTCTAAACTCCTAAAAACTATGAATAGGCAAACTTAATGTTATGTACAGTAATGTCATTGTCTGAAAATAGGAAGTAGACTTCGTTCTGTCGTAAAATGTCGTGTTACATGACGGTAAAATTTATAACGTTGATTTGCTAAA